CGCGTTCGATAGTTAGCGCCTGGGTTTGAGGCGCCTCAAAACTACACGCCTTGTTCCTCGTCACGCGTTCAGTTAGCGCCTGGGGGGGGGGGGGGGGGGGAAGGTGCGGCGGGAGGAGGGAGTGGGTGGGGGTTTGGAGGGGGGACGCGGGGGAGGAAAAGGGGAGGGGGTGGGGAGGGGAGAAGTCGGGTGAAGGCGAAAGAAGTTGTGTTTGAGGTTACTCATGCACGCCTTGTTCATATTCACACGCTAAGATCAGCGCATAGAGGGGGGAAAGGGTGCGCGGGAGGGGGGAGTGGGTGGGGGTTTTGTTGCGGGGGAAAGGGGGGGCAGGGGGGAAGTCGGGTTGAGGGGAAGAAAGCTGTTTTTGAGGTTATTCATGAGTAAAAAAGAGGAGGCTTCCCCATGCACGCTTTGTAACCCCACCTGACTGCTTCCATGCACGCCTCCAGGCTTGTCCCGAGACACCTAAGAGGTTAAGCTAGGCGTTATCATGTGGCATTTTTTGAGAGCCTAAAAATTGGATTGCTAGCTTGCACGCTTCGAGGCTTGTCCCGTGGCACCTAAGAGGCTAAGCTTTACATGATCATGTGACATCCCTCCCCGCTGTGAATCGTCCTCATCACCCAGGTTAAACAGCTGTATGTGTTTTTTTATAATTCTTAGAGAACACATTCACCCTGTGAATCGTCCTCTTCACCCAGCTTAAACAGCACCATCATGAGCCGCCGGTTCCAATTGGTTCACCTAGGGTTCGTTCAAACCACGTGGCATTTCCCTTATGACCGCACCTGCCCCGAATCAGTATTTTATTTTCCCCCGCGACTTGTTGGTCCGATTTGGTCGCCTCGGGACTCGGACTGACGCATCTTCACATAAATTGTCCCTCGTTCCTAGGCTCGTTCAGAGGCTCGTTTCAACGCACCTGAAATTCCTCCTTAAATCCCGGCTTCCATTGCTCGTCTCGCGGGCCTGCTTCCGGCCAGAAGCGGGATCTTCTGAACCGTAGATTTGGTCCTGCTATCCCAGCCGTCCATCGCGATCGTTCGATCTAAAGTCGCGAAATCGATATGCGAAAAAGCTGACGGCATGAGGAAGAGAAGATGGCTTTTCAGGAAAAGTACTTTCTCGTTATGAAAACGATATGCGCGAGTACAACGAATCGTCACATCAACCAACGACTATACTTGAAAGTGTGACATGTATTCTGGGAGTGAACTCTCTTCTAGTAGCCTCCAGCGTCTGAGGAAGGACGAAGATCAGGACTTGGGATTGAGCTTATCGGGTGCTGCTGCCTGCATCTCTATTTGGGCTGCATCTCTTATCGGGGAGATCCAAATCTGGCTGGCCGTTGGCATCTGTATCGTTACTTCCTATTTCCTTACATATATCGAGGCCATTTATAGGCAGTGCTCCGCACTGCCTGAATATGGGGGTCGAATCCAAGGCCACACAACAGATTTGACAGATTCGTCGCAGACAGCGAGTGGACAAATCTTTCGTGCTGCAAACACAACAATAAGTTTCGCGAACAACATATTTTCGAAACCGGGTTACTTCGCCACCTCTGAGTCCTGACGAATCAGAAGTAGGTCGCGCAAATGTTCCCCAACAACGCCCCCCCAAATTGCCAACAGTTGCGCCTTCAGTCCCACCCAGATGCTGCAATCGCTTTGAGTGTCCTCACCTGATCTAACCCAACTGGAACCAGCCCAACCACAGCAACTCAACCCCTCCCACTTCCACTCACCCGCCGTCCATCACCTCACCTCAGTATTGGTGCCCCTGGCTAGTGGTGCATTTACTAATCTGAACCGTGAATGCCTGCCAATGCCAAGCCAAGCCAAGCCTGTGTTGCTCGCGGTGCCGTCGCGTCCATCCCATTCGTCCATATTGCTGCTGTAGCTGCAGCCATTCATTTCATTGCCTTATTTCTCAGATCACTCTGACGTTACTTACGTTTACCTAAACCCGCAATGACTGGCTTAGTGTGGACGGCAGTCGGGGCGAATATCGCATGGCACGTGTGTGTCTTCCGACGTGGAAACTGCCACGTAGGACACTTAATGGGGGGATGCCAAGCACTCACCTCCAGGACAGCTTACCGCCATTTTATCTTGAAAGCTCAGTTTCGTAGTGCCTCTAATCGTTTCCTTCCGAAGGGAGAGTCTTACTTTCTCGCTGGAAACGCATTTCAGGTTTCACTCCTAACTTGATAGGTTTTGGTTCTCACGGGAACAAGTTTCTGAAGCTAGAAACCGTTTGACTCGGAGTCGCACATGGCGGACGTAGATTACTACCCTCGAGTCACGCGTTTTATCACCGTTCGTCACGACACGTTGCGCGCTCACATTACTAGTACCACCACAGCAGCGTGCCTCCTCCTGCTACTCCTCTACTCTTCACCGGTGACGGCTTTCGGGCCTATATCGAGGCAGCTTGTAGCGAAGCTGCATGCTGCTCGCCGCGGACGAGAACTCTCCGCGCGGACTGTTCCGCCTCGCGCGGCGCAATATCTCGCTGCGCAACGGGCGGAGAGAGAACTATTTTTCGATCCGGGACCCTGCGGCTACCCCAATTCAATGCGTTCAGAATCTGCCGCGTCTGACGCAGCGGCGGGCGGAACCAGCGGCGGCGGGTCAACGGCGAGTTCAGGGCTGCGCGCATCCACACCCTCGTCGCAGACTACGGCGGCTGACACGGCGGCTCTCACGGCGATCTTCACGGCCGCGCTGCTACCTATCCCGGCGAACGATGCGTGCACGTGGCCCGGCGTGTATTGCTGCACCGGCAGCGCTGTTACCATGCTAGACCTTTCGTACAATGTCAACACTGTCGAGCACCCACCCACGCCTCGCCTTTGCAACCGTACTGCGCGCGAACCCGGCGGAAAGTTCCCCGCAACCCTTTCCGATTCTATCGGCCAGTTAAAGGATCTTACCGAGCTCAGTGTGAAGGGCCTCTGGCTTGCTGGCTCTGTCCCGCTATCGTTGTCCCGGCTTACAAAAATGCAGAAACTCGACCTTAGCCATAACTGCTTCGGTGGCCCTCTTCCCGCCATTTTTCGCATGCCGGCGCTTATCAGTGTGGTAGCCGGCCAAAATTTCTTCACCGGCGGGTTACCGCAACGTCCTGCTGCGTACGCGGCGGCTAAGCTATCGACTATGGATTTCGGGAGTAACAGGCTGTCCGGGCCGATCCCTGCTGCCCTCGCGAAGCTGCCGAGCCCTGATATGGCGCTTTATTTGTACTCGAATCGGCTAACCGGGAATATTCCCCCTGCTCTGCTGCAGAGAGTGTTTGCACTTTATTTAAGTCAGAACCGGCTTTCCGGCGACCTGAGCGGGCAGAAAATAATGTCCTATGCTTTTAGCGCAAGCGGGAACAGGCTGTCTGGAAACTTCAATTCGATCGGGTTCGGCGAATCCGTGACGGGCATCGACGTGTCGGACAATTTGTTTTCGGGCTCGTTCCCTAACATCGTGTGCCATCGGAGCAACCTAGCAGCTAATTTTTCGCATAATCTACTGACAGGAGCCGTTCCAGCAAATTGTTTCAAGTCCGGAAGTTCCATTCCGAAAGGCCTCTTTCTGAGCCACAACAAATTCTCGGGCAGCTTGCAGCCGTTTTCGAACCTGCCCACGGACATCACTGCTCTGGACCTCGGATTCAACAAGTTCACAGGAGCATTCCCCCACGCCTCGCCAGTTTACCCCAACTTACACACTTGAACCTCGGGGCAAATGCTCTGACAGGTGAGCTGACCAGAAAAATGCAGATCTGGCCAACTCAGTGTACTGTTTATCTAAATAATCAACTGCTTTTCGGGCTCATTCCCGCAGATTTTGTGCAGTTCGGGCAGCCTTGAAAGCGCTGATTTTTCGCGCAATCGCCTGACCGGAACCGTTCCAGCGAACTGTATCAAGACCGCAAATCCTATGCAGCTTGCCATCTTCTTGAGCCACAACAACTTCTCGGGCAGCTTGCAGGCCTTTGCGAACCTGCCCAAGAGCATTGCGGTTCTGGACCTGGGATTCAACAGATTTACAGGAGGAATTCCCCAAAGCCTCACCAATTTACCCCAGCTAAGCTACCTAGACCTTGGGGCAAACGCACTGACAGGTAAGCTGAGCTGACTGTTTTTTCGCCCTTCGTGTTCACTCCTTTTGTACATTTCTGGTTTGCCTCCCCGATCCTTACTCGCTCCTACCTTCCCTCTCCCTTCCCTCATACTCCAACCCTCGTCAACCCAAAATCGTCTCTTCCCTCCCTGGTGATCCCCCCACCCCTCAGGCCCCATTCCCGCCTTCTGCCAGGCCAAGCAAGTCCTCACCTTCCTCAACCTCGCTCACAACGCCCTCTCCGGCCCGCCCACCCCACTCTCCTCCTCCTCCTGCTCCGCCTCCCTCTCCTTCCTCTACCTCTCCTCCAACCGCCTCTCCGGCCCCATCCCCGCTACAATCAGCTCCTTTACCCGCCTCAAGCGCCTTCTCCTAGACAAGAACACCCTTGCAGGATCAATCCCAGCTGGCGTTAGCAAACTGCAGCGATTACAGGGACTCGGGTTATCGTACAACACGCTATCGGGGACAATTCCCGCGGTTTGGCCAGCAGGCATACAGAACGTGCTGCTGGCAGGGAACCGGCTGTCAGGGGCTGTTCCGGTGGCTCTGAGCAAGCTGAAGAGAGGCTCGTTCAAACCAGGGAACCCCAACCTGTGTGGGAAACCACTGCCTGCTTGTGCTTAGATTAGAACCATCCCTGCTTGTGCAGGTATCACCCCATCTGAAACGGTTATTATAAATGTATATATTATTATTCTTCAGGAACCATTCAACTATGTCAGACTGGTCATGCGAAAAGCAAGCTGCAAAGGGGCTCCTTCAAACTAGGGAACCATCCAATTCTGGCAGTGGGAAGCGCAGGATTGCTTGAGTCGACTCAAAAGCAGAACAAAGTTCCACGTCTTCCAGTCTGGTGTTTCATTGGTGGGAAGGAGCCTATAGTTCCATGTCTTCCAATTCTGGCAGTGGGAAGCGAAGAATTTCAGCGATCCCAGCAAGATTCACCAGCTCTGCTCAAAGCAAAAAGGAATACCACAAAGGCGACAGAAGAGAGAATGAGATGGAGACATAATGCATCTCGGCAGAAGCACATGTTAGCTTGTAACATGTGGTATGCGGGATGTTGCAGGCAACAACAAAACTTGTGGTGTGGAGTGGGATACATACGCTCGCCAGAGACGTGCAGGGAGGAGAAGACGTGCACTTGCCCGCCATTCGCCCTCACTGATTCCACTAAGTCCACATAACGTCTTCTAGTCTTCACATCGGCGTTGCTGTGGAACAAGGGGTGTACGGGGGTTGGGAGAGGAGGCGAGACAGTGACGTGCAGGGAAGAGAAGACGTGCACTTGCCCGCCATTCGCCCTCACTGATTCCACTAAGTCCACGTAGCGTCTTCTAGTCTTCACATCGGCGTTGCTGTGAAAAATGGTGGGGGTGGTGATGGTGGTGGGGCGGGAGAGGGGGGAGTGCGTAAGCGAGGGAGGGAGCACGCGCAGGGAAGAGAAGACGTGCACTTGCCCGCCATTCGCCCTCACTGATTCCACCAGATCCACGTAGCGTCTTCTAGTCTTCACATCGGCATTGCTGTGGAACAAGGGGAGTGGGGGATGGTTACAGCAAGTGCACAGGAAATCGGACACGTGAGCACCCCAAAAACAGGCACCCTTAAATTACGGTGCTGATCTGGAAAAAGCAAGCAAACAAACAAACAACAGGGAGGGAAGAGATCAGCAAGCAAACAAACAAACAACAACAGATCAGCAAACAAACAAACAAACAACAGGGAGGTTGAGGAAGGTGAGGGCTTGCTCCCTGTTGTTTGTTTGGTTGTTTGCTGATCTGGAAAAAGCAAGCAAACAAGCAAACAACCAAGTTTGAGATTTTGAATCGAGAGGAAACCAACAAGTTAGCTGGCAATCAGTAGGTCCTCACCGGAACAAGTCATCAGAAATGAGAAGCGTGTGAATGGCAAGGCGCTCATTTGCTGCCTTGTGACACAAATGAGCCATTTTGAGAATCAGCCAGCAAGGAATGAAAAGATGCCCACCGGAACAAGTCATCAGAAATGAGGAGCGTGTGAATGGCAAGCCGTTCGTTTGCTGCTTCCACGTGCCCGGGACCGTAGAAGGCCCGTGCTGAGTCCTGTGGAAGTGTGGAGAGAGAAGGGTTAGAGGAGGGACCGAGCATACCAAAAAAGGTAATATGAGATAGGAGCGTGTGAATGGCAAGGCGCTCATTTGCTGCCTCCACGTGCCCGGGACCGTAGAAGGCCCGTGCTGAGTCCTGCAGCATTGAAGGCGGCATGGCGGCATGAGGAGAGAGGGGTCGTAGACAATTTCTGAGCCGACTCTAGAAACACACGAGCTGTGCAGCACATGCCTCCAACTGAGATTGCAAGTAAAACATCTCATTGACAGCTTGAATCTTGCGTTAAAGGCTGTGCAGAGTCGTGGGGAATGAGAACAGAAGGCAGTCGCACCTACGGCCGTCGTTTAAATCTCTCATAAGTGACTATAACGCAGGTGCACTTACGTTTGAGAGCATGGCATAGAAGTCCTCAAGTGCCTTGACCTGGCCACAAGACATCGCAGGCAGGGAGAAAAGGTGGAGAAGGGAAGCGAAGGGACGGTTTGGAAGTCAGCTAAAATCGCATCAGAGAGCATAGCGTACAGCTCCCTTCGACCTTCAAACCTGGTCAAAAGGTATGGGAGGAAAAAAAGGGGGGGTGTGTTTTGAGTTGACTCAAAGCATGACGTAAAGTTCCTTTAGGACTTTAGCTTGGCCAAGAAATGTGGGCGGAAAACAAAGGGGTTGGCAGGGAGGGGGGAGGATACGATGTTTGAGAAGTGATGAGAAGCACAAAAGGGATCTTGAGATGTCTCAGGATGGGTCATGGGTCATAATGGCTCATGGGTCATAATGGCTCATGGGTCATAATGGCTCATGGGTCATGATGGCTCATGGGTCATGATGGGTCATGGGTCATAATGGCTCATGGGTCATGGGTCGGAACACAACCCACATGTAACCAGACCACACCATATTTAGCTTCTCCTCCTCCATCACTGTCTCACCCACCCACTCAATCATGCACTCACTCACTCCTCACTCACTCACTCTCACTCATTCACTCCCACGATCACTCACTCACACCCTCACTCGCGCACCCACTCACCTCCTTGGCTGCCTTGGTGTCTTTGATTCAAGTCATGATAGCCCACACCTCTTTCACTTGAGGCGCATCAAAGATAAGCCCACTCAAAGCAAACCAACTACACTCACTCGCTCATTCACTCACTAACTACCTTCCTCACAGAATCACTCACCTCCTTGGCTGCCTTGGTGTCTTTGATTTGAGTCATGATAGCAGGCAGTGCCAACACCTCCTTCACTGCATGCCTGCATGGGACACGGTCACGTCAACAACAGCACGAAAGGGTGGATGCAACAATACATTCTTGGACCCAAAGCACCTTCTTTTGAAAATTCTTCAGAACCAACAGCTTGTGACACAGTAATCAGGCATCCAACGCACTTGTATCCCGATGTTGAAGGTGCGGGCATGATCTTGGCCTTGTTCCCAATGATGGCTGCTTGCCCACCCTACACACATCAACATCCCTCTCGCTTGCATTGCATGCCTGAACTGAACACACCATACCAGCCTACATGCTACTGCATCATCCACCCCCCACCACTCACTTGTATCGCGATGTCGAATGCGCGAGCACGATCTTGGCCTTGTTCTCAATGATGGCTCGGATGTTCTGCCGCTCGAGATGCTACATCATCATCGCCCCCTCCCCTCCCTTTCACCCCCCCCACCACTCACTTATATCCTGATGTGGAATGCGCGAGCACGATCTCGGGCTTGTTCTCGATAATGGCTCGGATGTTCTGCCGGGTTGCACTTGAGACGTCTCAACACCACTCATCCTCCCCCACATACTCACTTGTATCCCGGTGTTGAATGCGCGAGCACAATCTTAGCATTGTTCTCTATGATGGCTCGGATGTTCTGCCACTCCACAAGCATGAACATCCCTCCTATTTGTATCATTCACCCCCCCCTGCCGCCCCCCCCCTCCCCCCCCCCCCCCCTCCCCCCCCCCACATACGCACTTGTATCCCGATGTGGAATGCGCGAGCACGATCTTAGCCTTGTTCTCAATGATGGCTCGGATGTTCTGCCGCGTCGCTTCCAGCATCATGTACTCAAAGAACTGGTCCTGTGCTGTGTGGGAGTGATGGGAGGAACGGAAGATAACATGTATGGTATTGTTAAGGCGTCGGACACCTGACTGGCATAGACAGGCTTCCACCATCATGTAGTCAAAGAACTGGTCCTGTGCTGTGTGGGAGTGATGGAGGGAGGAGTGAGAATGCAGAGCATGTATGTCTAGTTAAGGCATCTGACTGACACGGACCAAGCTTCCTTCCAGCATCATGTACTCAAAGAACTGGTCCTGTGCTGTGTGGGAGTGACGGAGGGAGGAGAGAGAATGCAGAGCATGTATGTATAGTTAAGGCATTTGACTGACACGGACCAAGCTTCCTTCCAGCATCATGTACTCAAGAACTGGTCCTGTGTTGTGCGGGAGTGATTGGCAAACAGAAGGATAGCATGCGTGGTAACAGAGTATGTAGGGTCAACGACGTATTGGTAGCAAGGCATCTGACATAGATCGGATAGGAAGAGGGGGACAACATAGCACATATGGGATCACTGAAACGCCTGACATACAGCAAGCTTCCTTCCAGTACAAACATGGTCCTGTGCCATGTGACAGCTGTTTTTTGAGATTTCTCAAAAACCAGCTCCTGTGCCATGTTTTTTTAGGCACCTCAAAAGCCCTCCCAGTACAAACATGGTCATGTGCCATGTGACAGTGATCCGATCAGAGGAGAGCATCAAAGAGTAAAATGAAGGCAGGGCACTTCTAGAATCAAAGAGCTGGTTATGTACACGGCGAAGCTGCTAATAGAGGAGCACGTTATAACGAGGATGTGATGAACAGCAGTGGAAGGACAGTACCTTGGTGAATCCAGGACTCGCTATAAGCAGGCAGCGGATAATGTTGAAGTCAATGTGCCGTTGCACACCCTGTGGGTGAGACGAGCAGAGAGAAGAGAAGGAGCGTAAGGGAGGGGGGGGGAAGGACGAGATGGGGAGAGGGAGAGGAGAGGAAAGACAGAGATGAAAGGGGAGAAGGAAAGAGGTTGAGAGCAAACAAAGAAGATGTGAATCGAAAGCTCTCAGAATATAAAAGTACGCAGAACCTCACAGGGAAAGGAGGGAGTTACTCTGGGGAAGATCAGCTAAAAGACATGCTCACCTGAAAGACATTCTCAAAGAACTTATTGATTGCCTGCATGTGACATGGTGGGATGGGGGGAACGAAGAAAGGCATGAATCAGAAGAGTGCTTTCTTTACTCTGACTAGCAAGCAGCTCACATACCCCTCACTCACTCACGCATCACACACATCCATCATATCATATGTCCATCTGCTCTCATCCCACCATGTCAACCGATTTTTGAGGCGCCTCAAAAATCGCATCACACGCATCCATCATATCATATGTCCATCTGCTCTCATCCCACCATGTCAACCGGCCACCCACCCCACAGGGGCTAAATAGACCTGATCGTACTTGCACCACAACAGCTGGCCATGCCTTGACTTTTATGTGAACTCCAAAGTCACCTCAGAAACTCACCCCACCACGTTTGCTACCCACCACGTCTGTTACCCACCATGCAGTGGGGCTCACACAAACCCACCATGCAGTGGGGCTCACACAAACCCACCATGCAGTGGGGCTCACACAAACCCACCATGCAGTGGGGCTCACACAAACCCACCATGCAGTGGGGCTCACACAAACCCACCATGCAGTGGGGCTCACACAAACCCACCATGCAGTGGGGCTCACACAAACCCACCATGCAGTGGGGCTCACACAAACCCACCATGCAGTGGGGCTCACACAAACCCACCATGCAGTGGGGCTCACACAAACCCACCATGCAGTGGGGCTCACACAAACCCACCATGCAGTGGGGCTCACAACCCACCATGCAGTGGGGCTCACACACAGACCCACCTTATCATATCCCGCGATTGCCGGCCCTCGTTTTCTTGGGATTGGCGTCTCTATGCGCGCTTTTACTGTAGTCACACTGTTCACAGGAGAAAGAAAACAGGGTACAAATGGAGATTTGAGAGGCCGCCAAAACAATTCAAAGTAGCTCAACTCTGTGCAAAAAAGCGCAGTATCCTTAGGACTCATTTTCCCCCTAATCTCGCCTCCCCAAAATAAGTCACATGCAATTCAGACCATCAGATTTTGTAAGCTATTTGGGTACAAACAAAGATACAGTGGTTAGGTCAGTTCTTTGGGTGCCTCAATACCTGAGTCTCACCTCCCCCACGTATCAACTCTCCCTCGTCCCATCTCCCCCACGTCCCACCTCCCCCACGTCTCACCTCCCTCCAATAAGACAGACGTTTGCCAGCCCCTCTTGCATCACCACCACTGCCAGGTCCGCATTCGCTGAAGGGTCTGGAGGAGGGTGGGTTGGGGTGCGGGGAAGGGAGAGGTGGGGGAGTGGGAGAGGTAAGCGTAAGAGAGAGGAGGGGACAATGGGTTTGTAAGACAGACGTTTGCCAGCCCCTCCTGCAGCACCACCACTGCCACTGCCAGGTCCGCATTCGCTGACGGGTCTGCGGGACAGAAGGGAACGGGCGGGGGGGGAGGGGAGAGGGGAGTGGGGTGGCTGGGTTGGGGTGGGGGGGAAGGAAGACGTGGGGGAACTGGAGAGGTAGGAGAGAGGAGAGAGGAGAGAGTTAGAAATATGCTGTCAACACATTTGTGTGCTCTATTTTATATCGTGTAGGTTATTTGTAGGTTGGGGTGTGTGGGGGAGTGGGAGAGGTAAGAATGAGGAGAAGGCAATGGGTTTGTAGGTAGTGGAATGGAAAGGAACGGCAAGGGGGGGTAGGGAAAAGGTAAAAATACCTCCAGATGACTTTTGAGTCGACCCAAAAGTCAACCCAGATCCCCAGCCACATGCCCCCATCCACCCTTTCCCCCCTGTTCCACTCAGTCACAGCAGACCCCTACTCGCCCCGGCCCGTGTCAGCACATCCCCACCGGCCACCACCGGCCACCTGTCCCCCCCCGTTCCACTCACTCACCACACGCCACCAGACCTCCTTGAGCCGGTCTATACTATAGCCACTGAGTCCCACACCACACGCCCTACCGCTCACTGCAGACCCCCACTCGCCCCGTGTCAGCACATCACCACTGGCCACCACCGGCCACCACCGGCCACCTGTCCCCCCCTGTTCCACGCACTCACCACACGCCTCCTTGAGCCGGTCTATAGCCACTGAGTCCCACACGTCCTGAGGAAGCAAGGCATCAGGGGCACGGCAAAAGGGGTGTACGGCGGGGGAAGAAGAAGGGGGGGGAGGGGGGAGGGTTGGGGGAGAGATAAGAAGGGGAGACGTGCACCAGCTTTTAAGACGTCAGAGTCGATTGTCAGAACTTGAGCTTAGAATCCATGCATTAGTAATGAGCTCAAGGCTCTTTAAGTACATCGAAAATTGGCAAGGTAAGGATGGGAAGAGAATCAGGGGCAATCCTAGAGGATTGGGGGTAATCCCAAGGCAATCTCCAATTGGTGGGTTGGAGATTGCTTGGAGATCACATATGGGTTTGGTTGGGATGTGGGTGTACACCCAACCAAACACAAAGTGCACACTACACTAGGATATAAAAATGCAAGTACAAAATGTGAGATTGAGGGCTAACACTAACATCGATGTGGACACCCGGAGTTTGGAATGTATGAAAGCGGGCATTCACGGCAGAACACGGTTTGTTTTTTTTTTTTTTTTCAGAAGAGGTACCTTAGTGAGTGTGAAGGCCCGTTGCAAGTCCAGCTCCAGAGTGTGGTAGGACCCCAGCTGCAGTGTGGGGAGCAGATGAGAGCAGCGTGGGAAGAGATACGGGAGCAGATGAGAGAGGCATAGCTGATTCCAAATGACAACGTTGCAAGTCCAGCTCCAGAGTGTGGTATGACCCCAGCTGCAGTGTGAGGAGCAGATGAGAGCAGCGTGCAAGTGAGAACAGCGTAAGGCCAGATATGGCAAGAGAGGAGGGGGGGGACATAAAAAGAGAAGGATGGCTCTGCGTGCGCCACTCACACACTCTCTCACAGTGTACTCTTACTCGCTTTCACTAACACTCCCTCGCACCTTCACGTGCTCATTCTCAGTGATGTTCTTCCCGAATGACGTGCGCCGACGCGTCACTATCCGAGGCGCCTCAAAATTCAAAAATTACGCCCCTCTCACCTTCACGTGTTCATTCTCATCTCAGTGACGTTCTTCCCGCAAACTCGAATGCCATGCGCGTTTCGAGGCGCATCAAAACTGGTTCGTTTCAGTAGCACTCGGGCACTCTCATTCTTTTATATGCACACTCCAATCCAATCCCCTCACCTTCACGTGCTCATTCTCAGTGATGTTCTTGCCGCGAACTCGAATGACGTGCGCCGATGCGTCGAAATCCACTTCCTGTTGATCGCCGATTGGCGGCGAACGAGGAGGGTGGGATCAATGAATGATAATTTCTAAAGTTCTCAAGAAATGAGGAGCATGGGATTTATGAATGAGTTTTTCTAGAGTTCTCAAGAAATGAGGAGGGAGGGATTAATGAAGGAATGACGGATCATGGTAACAGCTGTTCTTTCTTTCTATCTTTCTTCTTGACTACACCAAATGACATGCCCCGTAGTGATCCTCACCAACGGACAGCACTCTCACCTCCACTGCCACTTCCAGCCTCATCAGCTTGATCCTCTCCGACTCACTGCCTCCCCCTCAACCCCACACAGACAAGCCCTCTCATCGCACTCACCCCACCACCACCCCAACCCGCCCCGCTCACCTCCACTGCCACTTCCAGCCTCAGCTTGATCCTCTCCGACTCACTGCCGCCTCTCACCCCCACAGGTCCTGTCATGTCATGCACTGACCTTATTCCAACACCCACTGTCCTCACTCTATTCGCCCTCCCCACCGCCCTCCCCTCTCACCTCCACTGCCACTTCCAGCCTCAGCTTTATCCGCTCCGACTCACTGCCTCCCCCTCAACCCCACACAGACAAGCCCTCTCATCTCACTCACCTCACCACCACCACCCCAACCCTCCCCTCTCACCTCCACTGCCACTTCCAGCCTCAATTTGATCCGCTCCGACTCACTGCCGCCCCCTCCCGTCTCCTTCTGCACCTTCCTGGAACCATCCAGCAGTAAGGGGGAGGTAGATTTGTAGGAAGGAGGAGAGAGTGTAGGTACAATAACAAAACCACCCGAGCGTTCAGGTATGAGGGCCCATTCAGGTACCTGAACATCCACCTGAGAATGTACCTGAACATACACCTAAGAATATACCTGAACATCCACCTGAGAATGCACCTGAGCATCCACCTGAGCACGCACCTGAACGTGGTGCTCTGCACATGGTCGTGCGGAGCAATGAGGTTGTAGGCGTGCCATAGGTCCTCCTCCACCTCGGGTACGATCTAGGGAGAGGGGGAGATAGGGGAGGGAGAAGGGGAGAAGAGGAGGGAGGGAGGTGTTGGGAAAGGAAGGGTTGAGCAATGAGGTTGTAGGCGTGCCATAGGTCCTCCTCCACCTCGGGTACGATCTAGGGAGAGGGGGAGATAGGGGAGGGAGAAGGGGAGAAGAGGAGGGAGGGAGGTGTTGGGAAAGGAAGGGTTGAGCAATGAGGTTGTAGGCGTGCCATAGGTCCTCCTCCACCTCGGGTACGATCTAGGGAGAGGGGGAGATAGGGGAGGGAGAAGGGGAGAAGAGGAGGGAGGGAGGTGTTGGGAAAGGAAGGGTTGAGCAATGAGGTTGTAGGCGTGCCATAGGTCCTCCTCCACCTCGGGTACGATCTAGGGAGAGGGGGAGATAGGGGAGGGAGAAGGGGAGAAGAGGAGGGAGGGAGGTGTTGGGAAAGGAAGGGTTGAGCAATGAGGTTGTAGGCGTGCCATAGGTCCTCCTCCACCTCGGGTACGATCTAGGGAGAGGGGGAGATAGGGGAGGGAGAAGGGGAGAAGAGGAGGGAGGGAGGTGTTGGGAAAGGAAGGGTTGAGCAATGAGGTTGTAGGCGTGCCATAGGTCCTCCTCCACCTCGGGTACGATCTAGGGAGAGGGGGAGATAGGGGAGGGAGAAGGGGAGAAGAGGAGGGAGGGAGGTGTTGGGAAAGGAAGGGTTGAGCAATGAGGTTGTAGGCGTGCCATAGGTCCTCCTCCACCTCGGGTACGATCTAGGGAGAGGGGGAGATAGGGGAGGGAGAAGGGGAGAAGAGGAGGGAGGGAGGTGTTGGGAAAGGAAGGGTTGAGCAATGAGGTTGTAGGCGTGCCATAGGTCCTCCTCCACCTCGGGTACGATCTAGGGAGAGGGGGAGATAGGGGAGGGAGAAGGGGAGAAGAGGAGGGAGGGAGGTGTTGGGAAAGGAAGGGTTGAGCAATGAGGTTGTAGGCGTGCCATAGGTCCTCCTCCACCTCGGGTACGATCTAGGGAGAGGGGGAGATAGGGGAGGGAGAAGGGGAGAAGAGGAGGGAGGGAGGTGTTGGGAAAGGAAGGGTTGAGCAATGAGGTTGTAGGCGTGCCATAGGTCCTCCTCCACCTCGGGTACGATCTAGGGAGAGGGGGAGATAGGGGAGGGAGAAGGGGAGAAGAGGAGGGAGGGAGGTGTTGGGAAAGGAAGGGTTGAGCAATGAGGTTGTAGGCGTGCCATAGGTCCTCCTCCACCTCGGGTACGATCTAGGGAGAGGGGGAGATAGGGGAGGGAGAAGGGGAGAAGAGGAGGGAGGGAGGTGTTGGGAAAGGAAGGGTTGAGCAATGAGGTTGTAGGCGTGCCATAGGTCCTCCTCCACCTCGGGTACGATCTAGGGAGAGGGGGAGATAGGGGAGGGAGAAGGGGAGAAGAGGAGGGAGGGAGGTGTTGGGAAAGGAAGGGTTGAGCAATGAGGTTGTAGGCGTGCCATAGGTCCTCCTCCACCTCGGGTACGATCTAGGGAGAGGGGGAGATAGGGGAGGGAGAAGGGGAGAAGAGGAGGGAGGGAGGTGTTGGGAAAGGAAGGGTTGAGCAATGAGGTTGTAGGCGTGCCATAGGTCCTCCTCCACCTCGGGTACGATCTAGGGAGAGGGGGAGATAGGGGAGGGAGAAGGGGAGAAGAGGAGGGAGGGAGGTGTTGGGAAAGGAAGGGTTGAGCAATGAGGTTGTAGGCGTGCCATAGGTCCTCCTCCACCTCGGGTACGATCTAGGGAGAGGGGGAGATAGGGGAGGGAGAAGGGGAGAAGAGGAGGGAGGGAGGTGTTGGGAAAGGAAGGGTTGAGCAATGAGGTTGTAGGCGTGCCATAGGTCCTCCTCCACCTCGGGTACGATCTAGGGAGAGGGGGAGATAGGGGAGGGAGAAGGGGAGAAGAGGAGGGAGGGAGGTGTTGGGAAAGGAAGGGTTGAGCAATGAGGTTGTAGGCGTGCCATAGGTCCTCCTCCACCTCGGGTACGATCTAGGGAGAGGGGGAGATAGGGGAGGGAGAAGGGGAGAAGAGGAGGGAGGGAGGTGTTGGGAAAGGAAGGGTTGAGCAATGAGGTTGTAGGCGTGCCATAGGTCCTCCTCCACCTCGGGTACGATCTAGGGAGAGGGGGAGATAGGGGAGGGAGAAGGGGAGAAGAGGAGGGAGGGAGGTGTTGGGAAAGGAAGGGTTGAGCAATGAGGTTGTAGGCGTGCCATAGGTCCTCCTCCACCTCGGGTACGATCTAGGGAGAGGGGGAGATAGGGGAGGGAGAAGGGGAGAAGAGGAGGGAGGGAGGTGTTGGGAAAGGAAGGGTTGAGCAATGAGGTTGTAGGCGTGCCATAGGTCCTCCTCCACCTCGGGTACGATCTAGGGAGAGGGGGAGATAGGGGAGGGAGAAGGGGAGAAGAGGAGGGAGGGAGGTGTTGGGAAAGGAAGGGTTGAGCAATGAGGTTGTAGGCGTGCCATAGGTCCTCCTCCACCTCGGGTACGATCTAGGGAGAGGGGGAGATAGGGGAGGGAGAAGGGGAGAAGAGGAGGGAGGGAGGTGTTGGGAAAGGAAGGGTTGAGCAATGAGGTTGTAGGCGTGCCATAGGTCCTCCTCCACCTCGGGTACGATCTAGGGAGAGGGGGAGATAGGGGAGGGAGAAGGGGAGAAGAGGAGGGAGGGAGGTGTTGGGAAAGGAAGGGTTGAGCAATGAGGTTGTAGGCGTGCCATAGGTCCTCCTCCACCTCGGGTACGATCTAGGGAGAGGGGGAGATAGGGGAGGGAGAAGGGGAGAAGAGGAGGGAGGGAGGTGTTGGGAAAGGAAGGGTTGAGCAATGAGGTTGTAGGCGTGCCATAGGTCCTCCTCCACCTCGGGTACGATCTAGGGAGAGGGGGAGATAGGGGAGGGAGAAGGGGAGAAGAGGAGGGAGGGAGGTGTTGGGAAAGGAAGGGTTGAGCAATGAGGTTGTAGGCGTGCCATAGGTCCTCCTCCACCTCGGGTACGATCTAGGGAGAGGGGGAGATAGGGGAGGGAGAAGGGGAGAAGAGGAGGGAGGGAGGTGTTGGGAAAGGAAGGGTTGAGCAATGAGGTTGTAGGCGTGCCATAGGTCCTCCTCCACCTCGGGTACGATCTAGGGAGAGGGGGAGATAGGGGAGGGAGAAGGGGAGAAGAGGAGGGAGGGAGGTGTTGGGAAAGGAAGGGTTGAGCAATGAGGTTGTAGGCGTGCCATAGGTCCTCCTCCACCTCGGGTACGATCTAGGGAGAGGGGGAGATAGGGGAGGGAGAAGGGGAGAAGAGGAGGGAGGGAGGTGTTGGGAAAGGAAGGGTTGAGCAATGAGGTTGTAGGCGTGCCATAGGTCCTCCTCCACCTCGGGTACGATCTAGGGAGAGGGGGAGATAGGGGAGGGAGAAGGGGAGAAGAGGAGGGAGGGAGGTGTTGGGAAAGGAAGGGTTGAGCAATGAGGTTGTAGGCGTGCCATAGGTCCTCCTCCACCTCGGGTACGATCTAGGGAGAGGGGGAGATAGGGGAGGGAGAAGGGGAGAAGAGGAGGGAGGGAGGTGTTGGGAAAGGAAGGGTTGAGCAATGAGGTTGTAGGCGTGCCATAGGTCCTCCTCCACCTCGGGTACGATCTAGGGAGAGGGGGAGATAGGGGAGGGAGAAGGGGAGAAGAGGAGGGAGGGAGGTGTTGGGAAAGGAAGGGTTGAGCAATGAGGTTGTAGGCGTGCCATAGGTCCTCCTCCACCTCGGGTACGATCTAGGGAGAGGGGGAGATAGGGGAGGGAGAAGGGGAGAAGAGGAGGGAGGGAGGTGTTGGGAAAGGAAGGGTTGAGCAATGAGGTTGTAGGCGTGCCATAGGTCCTCCTCCACCTCGGGTACGATCTAGGGAGAGGGGGAGATAGGGGAGGGAGAAGGGGAGAAGAGGAGGGAGGGAGGTGTTGGGAAAGGAAGGGTTGAGCAATGAGGTTGTAGGCGTGCCATAGGTCCTCCTCCACCTCGGGTACGATCTGGAGGAATGGAGATTAGGGGGGGAGGCGGAGGAGAAAAAGAAGCTTTTGAAATAGCTGGACGAGCAATGAGGTTGTAGGCGTGCCATAGGTCCTCCTCCACCTCGGGTACGATCTGGAGGAATGGAGATTAGGGGGGGAGGCGGAGGAGAAAAAGAAGCTTTTGAAATAGCTGGACGAGCAATGAGGTTGTAGGCGTGCCATAGGTCCTCGTCCACTTCAGGTACGATCTGGAGGAATGGAGAAAAGGGGAGGGGGAGAATAGGAGGGGGGGAGGTGTGGGGGAAGGGTTACGAAATGGTGAGACGGAGAGAGAGGAGGGAAAGAGGGGACAGAAAGAGGGCCTGGGCTCTAACACTTTGTCAAACTATGAATGGCATTCTCAGCCCCTTTTTTTCCTGGTGGGGTGAGGAATAGACCGAGGAAATAATCCCTAGTTTGAAACACTGGGTGAGGCAGCTGCTCCCCAGCACACCTTAGCCAAACTATGATTGGCATTCTCAGCCCCCTTATTTTTTTGGTGGGGTGAGGAATGCGATGCGAGCAGTGAGAGGAAATAATCCGTTCTACTCCCCAACACACCTTAGCCACCCCTGGGCCGTCCTTCTCGAAGCTTCTCTTCAGAAGCTTCATCGCGGATTTCGACGGCGCAACTTCGCTCGGATCGACGAGATCTCTCAGTCTGATTGGTCGACAGCCAGACCGCGCAAGATAGTCTAACGGAATACCGTCTGCTACTACGGGTTTGTACGGGGTGGGATGAGAGTTGATTCGTATGAATCTGTTGATTCGGTCTGTACACCCCAGACAAGCCGCACAGAAATGTTGTATACTAGACTGAATAGGAGAACGAAAAAATAGGAGTCGGCTGTTTTCGTAGTACTTATTTACGTCCACTCGCTACGTGCTGTATGGGATCTTGCAGGGCTGAAAAACAACCTACAACCACACTGTACCTGCTTTAGATGTTTCTGCATCCAACAAAACCATGCCTAAATCTGTCAAACCCATGCCTTAGCCCTCAACAGCTCACTGGAGCTAGACTGTTGCCCTCTGTGCGCACAACCAAGCAACATTTCTCTCTATTACGAGTGTCGCTTGTATCAGGTTTGTCACTCCCTAACCACTCTTTCACACTTACAAAAATTACTTGCAGTTATTGCAGTTGTAACATGTTAGAAAAGCTAGCCTTGGATCATTGAGTTAAAAAAACCTCATTCTATGGTTGTTGAATTGACAACAATCACTCCAAATAACATTAATTATTATGGAGAAGGCAAGCATAGGGTAGTTGCACAAGCACATTCTACCGTAGCTTACCCAACACAAGCAAACCACCAAATATTTCCAGCCCACCAATCCTAGAAAGATATACGTAATAAACTAGAACACACAAGAAAACCAGCACATTCAAAACCCACAACGCCCCCCACCACCACACGGCCATCCCTGCAAGACACTCGGAATCACTCCAACAACGGCCAACGCAATCTAGTCATCGCCGTCATTGTCGTCATTGTCCCCGCGTCCCCCCTTCCTCCCTCCCTTCCTGCCTGCACCACTCCCATTGCAATTTCCAGACCCACTTCCATTGCAGTTCCCACCACCTCCCGAACCACTCCCCTTCCTGCCCGCACCACTCCCATTGCAGTTTCCAGACCCACTTCCGTTGCAGTTCCCACCTCCCCCACCACTCCCCCTCAACCCCGCGCCAGCCCCCTTCCCTGCGCCTGCACCCGTGCGTCCCGCCGCTCCCTGCCGCCCGCCCCCGCCGCTCATGCCGCCCGCTCCGCCTGCGCCTGCGCCACGCCCGCGGCCCTGCTGCCCCCCCGACCCCTGCCGACCAGCACCGCTGCCATTGCCAGTGCAGCCGCCAGATCGGGAGCATGGGGAAGAACCAGAACCAGAGGAACCAGAGGAGCCAGAGCCGGAGCCGTCGCGCTTGCGGTCGCGGTCGCGGTCCTGGTCGCCAGAGCCGTCCCTCTTGCGATCCCTCTCCCGGTTGTCCGCCACCACGTACCCCGCACTCTGAATGCTCGCCGCCGCCGCGTTTCTCCCCGACCCTCCGCCGCTACCGTTGCACGAGCCAGACCCGCTGCCGCTGCAGTTTCCGCCGCCCTTCTTGCCTTGTCGCACCTTGCCAGCGCTGTTGCTGCCGCCCAGCTGCCCGCCGCGACCCGCACCCGCGCCAGCGCCGCTCCCCGTTCGTCCCGCTCCGCCTCCGCGCCCGCCTGCGCCGCTTCCGCCCTGCCGGCCGCTGCCCTGCCGGCCGCCGCCGCCGCTGCCTGTGCAGCCGCCGGATTTGCTGCAGGAGCCGTCGCCCTTCTGGCCAGTGCCAGTTTTCTGGCGGCCGCCGCTGCCGCCGCCGGTGCAGCCGCCGGATTTGCTGCAGGAGCCGTCGCGGTCGCGGTCGCGGTCCCTGTCGCGATCCTGGTCGCGGTTGCCCGTGCCGTCCCGCTTGCGATCGCGCTTCGGCCGGTCGTCGTCGTCGCCGTCGTCGTCGTCGGCGACGGCGAAGGTCGTCAGGTTGACGAGGAGGAGCGCGAGGATCCCGAGGGCGAGAAGCTTCGACGAAGCCATGATGATGATGGTGGCGATACGCTGGTGGGTGAAACCCTGGCGGAAGGTGTCGACGACGGAAGGGCTGCCTCCGGAACGATTACGGTCGGGAGTGGTACTAGTGGTTGCAGTAGGATCTGCTTGCAGCAGCAGAGGTACGAAGTATCAGCTCGGAATGAATGTTGTAAGAAGGATTAGCTATTAAGACTGGATGAGTAGAAACGGCTCGCTTTCCCGAGGGATGGTGTGATGAGAATCGGGAACGAATTCGGAATCTTTATAGTCGGTACATCTGTCGGGGTGTGGCGCCACCGCCGCCACAGACGCAGCGGGAGATGCGGGAGGGGAGAGCCCAGCGGAGACTCGAGAGTCTGCCGCGGGGAACAACGTATGCGACGTCCAGCGTCGCATTGGGCCGCCCTAGAAAAGTGCGCGCGCGGTGAGAGCTGGTAACCCCGATTCATTCGCATCTTCGGCGAGCGCGCGGCGGGGAGAATGGGAACGAGGGTGAGAAAAACTTGCGCCGCGAACGCCGCGGGTGAGGAAGGGGGAAAGGAGGAGAGGACTCGTGGGGAGGGGGAGAAGGAGAGGGTCTTCCGGCGCAGGAAGTTTCCTTGGAAATGACGAGCGGAATGGCTCTGTTCCGCCTCCCCGCGACGTACGCGGATGTTGTGCGCGGTACTTTCCTTGGAAATTGGCTGGTCGGATGGCTCGGCGCGCAAGGAAAAACCTCGGAGGACTGTCATAGTAAGCACAGACGTACGGTAACATTGCAGTACCGTAACTCCCTAAGATACCATCCAATGGTATGATAGCGTGAGCTAAGCTGGCGCGCGCAACCCTTGTGCTCGCGGGGCGGAGACTGTGGCGCGACGCGATGGGATGGGAGCAGCTAGCTACCTCGTGCGATAGTTTCTGGCGAAGGCTCCTACTGGCCCATGTGAGGTTGAGCTTTCGGTCGAAGCAACGGGGGACAGCTGTGTTGGTGAGGCTTCGTTAGAAAACCAGAAAAATAAATGTTGCATCATGTTTAGTTTCTATAGGTAGAAAAATAACCCTAATGATAAGATCAGTGAAGTGCTACTGTAGTATAAACATTTGGGGTTTCATAAGTTGGCTACCTACCATGTAGCAAAGATTTGTGCAATGTTGGTGGGTTCTGTTTCGCATATGCTGTAATGAACTGTGGTTTCACTGTCGCCATGATGGTAGATATCAGTTGCGTAGGGCAATAAATGTGTGTTCCTCTTTGACTTTAACTCAACAAATACAACAAGAAGACGAATCAAGAATCCCATTTTACAACACTCAGAAATTCCCACTTGCCCTTTCAGCCCCATCAGGAATTAACTGGGGTTGGGTGGCACAGATTTCAGCTCGCCTTTCAAACTCATATCTGGAAGAAGCGCCATCGTTTTCTGGGGGGTGGTGGGTACTTGCGCTTGGGTGGTGGGGGCCTGGGAGGAGGGGGCTTTGGTGGTGGGGGGCTGGGCCTTCTAGGAGGTGGGCTGGGAGGGGGTTTCAGAGGTATGGGAGGAGGTTTGGGAGGAGGAGACGGAGGGGGTTTGGGGGGAGGAGAGGGAGGAGGTTTGGGGGGAGGAGAGGGAGGGGGTCTTGGTGGGGGGGGACTTGTGAGCGATTTCAGTGTTGGGGGGCTTGGGGGTGGTCTAGGGGGAGGGGAGGGGGGAAGCCTAGGGGGAGGGGAGGGGGGAGGCTTAAGGGGAGAGGAGGGAGGGAGCTTAGGGGGAGGGGAGGGAGGGGGCTTACCACCAGTTGAAGTCTTGGGAGGGGGGGAAGGAGGGCGAGGAGGAGGGCGTGGGGGAGGGGAAGGCGGAGGGGGAGGCTTGGGGGGATTCGGGGGAGGTCGGGGTGGGGGAGATGGGGGCCTGGGGGGGCTTGGGGGGGGGCGGGGGGGAGGCGAGGGTTTTGGGGGAGGCCTTGGAGGGTTTGGAGGGGGGCGGGGCGGTGGGCGGGGGGGAGGGGAAGGGGGAGGGTTGGGGGGAGAGGGAGGGGGAGGCATGACTGCCTGGAAGCAGGGGGAGAGGTGGGGGAAGGAGAGGGTCTGATCGAAGTAAGAGAAGAAGAGAGTGTAGGAGGGAGAGGAGACAAAGTCGAGAATGTGAGTGGTGTCAGCAGCAGGCGAAGCAGGGGTGGAAGAAGCAGGGGCGGAGGGGGTTGAAGTGGCAGGGGCAGGGGCAGCAGCGGTGGCAGTGGGGGAACCGGGGGAGGAGGAGAAGGAGGACCAGGCGTTGAAGGGCACGGGCAGCTGAGAGCCGTTGGATCGGAGAGCAGCGGTGAGATTCCAGCAGTGCGACGGCAGCTGCGATGCAAATGACATGTGCGCCCACCCCCCTGCTGCTGCTGGTGCGAGGGCAGACCTGCAAGCATGGCGAGGAACATGGCACGTGGGTTGGTTGGACGAGGAAAGGTTGCTGAAGTTGGGAGATTAACACCACAGGTTTTTTTTTTTTGTTCTGTTTTCTCTCTCTTACTTCTTTTCTCCCCGGTGGTGTGCCCAGCAATCTGCAGGTAAAGCACTGATTAGAAATGACAACCATTCATCACTCCGCTTCTTCACTCACCAGTCTACAGCGACAGTGAGCTTGGCGCGCGTCTTGCTGGTGAAGAGCGGGCGGCCGAGCGTGAGAGCAGCGGAGGGCACGGCGGTTACGGGCAGCACGCGGTTACCAGCGCTGCTGTAGATGGCCTCCGGCTGCTCGTCCCCATCATCGTCCACCAGGAAATCCGGCAGCCCGTCGTCTGTAGGAACAGGTGAGATTGATAAGACAACAGTGGAAGGAGGCAACAATGAGGGAGGATGGTAAGGGATGGCATCGGTTCAGGCCCTGCTCGTCCCCGTCGTCGTCGTCGTCGTCGTCCACCAAGAAATCCAGCAGATCTTCGTCTGAAGGAACGAGTCAGACATAGAAAGGATGGGT